AAAAAAGAGAGAGAAAAAAAAAACTATATTTGGAACATGAAACCGAAAGACCTCCAGACCCCTGCATAAAATTACCATTATGATATGGACCGTAAATTTCGCTCAAAAATAATTTGAGACCATCAAATAAGAAATCCAGTAATGAAATCTTCCTTGCAATCGCCATTGCTGATGACACAAAATGGAAAAGGAGCTCATGTATTGTAAAAGCCTGTAATAAAGACTCTCTGTTACCACCACGCCAATGGCATCTCCCACTTGCAGACCTTCCCTTCCCTACCATCGGACCACCGAAACTGATATCATCACCTCCACAAAGGCCCTCCAATCTCTCATCAAATCCTCCCACTTCGACCAGGCCCTCTCTCTCTTTCGTCGGATCCTCTCTCTCTACAAGCCCGACCCCTTCTGCCTCCCCCTCGCCCTCAAGGCCTGCGCGAACCTCCCTTCACCGCTCAGCGGCCGCGCCCTCCACGCCCTTGCCCTCAAGTCTGCGCTCCGCCCGAACCCCTTCGTTGCCTGCGCCCTCCTCGACTTCTATGCCAAGTCCTCCTCCTCCCCTGTCTCCGCTCTCTCTGTCTTCGATGAAATCCCGAACCCAAATCTTGTCACTTACAACGCTCTTCTCTCTTGCCATGTTCGGCTGGGCCGAGTCGACGATGCTCTTGACCTCTTCCGCTGCATGCACGTTAAACATAATACTTCGTCGTATAACACTATTATTGCCGGTATGTCACGCGCGGGCCGGCATGCTCATGCTCTCGAATTTGTGCGTCAGATGTGTACTGCAGGCGAGCGGCCGAATCTGATTACGCTACTGAATGTGCTGCCGGCGTGCGCGAGCCTTGCAGCGCCACACACTGTCCGTGAGGCTCATGCATACGCTGCCCGAGCAAGTTTGTACTGGAACGCCCAGCTGGGTAGTGCACTTGTTGAGGCATATGGGCGATGCGGGTGCCTGCACTATGCCAGACAAGTGTTTGATTCGATGCCTGTGAGAGATGTGGTAGCATGGAGTGCGCTCATCTCGGCCCATGCTCTTCATGGCGAGGCAAAGAACGCCTTACTTATTTTCGATCAAATGGTGAAGGGTGGAGTCAGACCAGATGGCCTGGCGCTCTTGGCAGTGTTAAAAGCATGTAGCCATGGTGGGCTTGTGGACGAGGCATTGAGATTTGTGAGAGAGATGGAGGTTATGTATGGTTTGGAGGTGGGAGTTGAGCATGGAGCATGCGTTGTGGATGTGTTGGGGAGGGCCGGGAGGCTGGGGGAGGCGGTGGAGGTTGCTAAGGTGATGGGGGAAGGCGCTGGGGCGAAGGTGTGGGGGGCGGTGTTGGCTGCATGCAGGGTGCACGGGGAAGTGGGAGTGGCGGAAGAAGCGTGGGGAAAATTGAGGGAGCTGGAGGGGTGGAATGCGGGAAATTACGTGTTGATGGCGAGTGTTTATGCTGGGGCTGGGCGGCATGAGGACGCAGAGAGGGTGAGGGGGGATATGAGAGAGAAGGGGGTTAGGAGCTTTCCTGGGTGCAGTTGGGTGGAGGAGGTTAGTGGTTGAGAGAGAGAGATGGGTGTTCTTCTACTCGAGAAAGAGTGAGAAGATGATTAGGGGTGGCAAACGTGTTGGGTCGACCCAAACCGGGTCCAAATTGGACCCTTTGGATCCGACTCGACCTGACCGGTTGCCACCCCTAAAGATGAATTGGGTTGTTTTTTCACCCTTCCCCGGGGAGGAGGTAATTCACTAAGAGAGAGCCGCGAGGATAGTTTGAGGTAAAAGAGAAAAACAACGTTGCCTAGGTAACAGAGACACAAAGGGTGTGGTTTCTATAAAGTTTCAACCTTTAACAATTCAATTATGGCGCAGCTCCAAATTTTATCATATAATTTTGGTGTAAAAAATTCTCAAAAATTATATTAAATTTTATTTTTATATCTAGTTATAAAATTTTAAATTTTAATATTTTTTTTTCATATTTATACATCATCAATTAGAAGGTTTTTTAACATTAAAACAACTTTTTTCGATAGATTTTTGATGTGCATCTTTAATTATATATTTTAAGATTGCAACCTTATATAATCTCTTTCCTTTTTAAGTAAATGTTTTGAGTGTATTAATATTGAGGGGGAGAGACGTTAGTCTTTGGGAGATTGCCAAGATACCATATGTAACACCTTTGCCAATCCAATTTTTGTGGGTTGTTGGACTTCACGAATTGTGGAATCCATATCAGAAGAAATATAGGTTTTAATTGTACAAATAAATGAAATACGTCTCATTATTCCAGAAGAAAGATGAGATTGGTATGTAAAGATATCTTTTGTGGGCAACTCATTCGAGAATTTAATTTCAAGTATAAAATCCGTCCCGCGTGTTGTCCAAATAAATTTTGAAGGTTAAATAGTGGTAGCTTTCTTCTTTTTTTTTTCTTTTTTTTTGTGGGGAAATCGCAGATATCCCCAAAGTTTTACTTTTTAAGCATTCTTTCCAAATATTTTTTATACCACATATTTTTTCTTTGCAACCACTCTCTAAGTAAAAAAAAATTAATTTTTTGAACTAAAATATCCTCCCCCCACCCCCACAATTGTAACCCATATTTTCAAAACATAACAACCGACATGTGTTGGTCTGCATAAGTGTGTCAAAAATATGCCAAATTGGCTGTATACAAGTTTTGTTGCTCGGGCACAAGTTGAATATAGAGCTGGTCCTGAACAAAAAATGCGTTGAATCGGCTCTGTACAAGTTGTGCCTGTCCGACATGAAATATGCCGTTGCAGAGGTTTATGATCCAAATGCATACGCGGTCCCATGTGCATCTATTGCAGCTTGG